CTAATTTGTGTATGGATTTGTCAAAGTTATACAAAATGGATATGGCACGGTGAAGTAGTAGCAAAGTCAAACGTGTCTCAAAGAGATGATGTTAGTGTAGAAATGGATGATCGTCTAGAAGACATGATGCGTGATATTGGACAAGATTCGTTTAAGAGGGCACATACATATGATACTATATGCAATGACAAGGATAAACCATTGTACCCGGGATGCAAAAAATTTACACGTCTGTCAGCCGTGTTAAAATTATTTAATCTGAAGGCAAAGAATGGGTGGACTGACAAAAGTTTTACCGAGTTGCTTGAATTGTTGACCGAAATGCTTCCAGAAGGTAATGTAATGCCAAGTCGTTATTACGAGGCGAAGAAAATATTGTGTCTGATGGGTTTGGAGTATGAAAAGATACATGCATTCCCTAATGATTGCATATTATACAAAAAAAGAGTATGAAAAGTATAATCATTGTCTAAAGTGCAAGGCTTCACGCTACAAAAAGAAAGATGGTGAATCAATTGATGATGAGGTGGTAAAAAAGGGTCCACCTGCGAAAGTGGTGTGGTACCTACCAATAATTTCAAGGTTCAAGAGATTATTCGCCAATGCAGATGACGCAAAGAATCTTAGATGGCATGCAGAAGAAAGAAAATATGATGGACAAATTCGTCATGTAGCTGATTCTTTGCAATGGAAGAAAATAAATTCTTTGTTTCCAAATTTTGGCGAAGAGTCGAGAAACCTTAGACTTGGACTTGCTACTGATGGAATGAATCCGTTTGGTAATCTGAGTACTAACCATAGTTCTTGACCTGTTCTAATTTATGCTTGATTAATTGATGTTTTTGCATTTTGTAGGATTCTCTAGTTCAAGAAGCTGAAAAAGGTGCAATTGTTCCGGATGGACGTAATGATATCTTATCATTAGCCATTGGAACATCTGAGCATGGAGGTCGTGTTCGTGGTGTTGGAAAACACCATAAACAAAGCACTTACTTTGGAAGATCACGTCAACATATTGACGTAAATGAACAACTTGCAATATTGGAAACAAAACTTAGAGCTGAACTTGAAGAAAAGTTGGTTGAAGAGCGTAAGATGTTTCAAAAATCATTAATGGAGACACTTAAGTCTATGGGTTTATCACAAAGCACAGGTGATAATAAATGCATTGAAAAATTGGAAATTATCGATGTAAGCGGAAAAGGAAGTTGTTCAGCTGCAAAAGGAAGCACAAAAGAGAGCACAAAAGACGTGGAAGTTGATGATGTTCAGAGATTGTTACTCATGGTTTTGAAAATGGATGATAACCATTTGGCAATACAATTAAGTCATTGTGCGAGTGTCTCTAATTTTTATGTTTCATCTAAATGTATCAGAGAGTTATTGGTGGATTTAGGTCATTGGCTTGACGTGTCTATTCTGCAAATTTGGTGCACGTAAGTACATTTTATTGTTTTATTAAAGTCAATCTCTATTAATATGTTATATCTCTCATCACTTTGATTCTAATGTTTATTTTAAAATTATTCAGGTATATTCATCGTGTTTGTCTTGAGAATTCCATTTCAGAATTATATGGATTTATGGACCCTGCTAGGTGTATTTATAATGATAATGTAGCGAAATCTCAAGAAGATGTTAAAAATTACGTACTAGAAAAGTTACGTAATGAAAACAGAGTGTGCCACTTACTACCATTAATTCATGGGTAAGAATTTTTATGAAATTGTGGTTTATATTATTTAATTTTGATAACATATATATTTTATGTGACTTTTCTGTTTCCACACACACGTACAGGAGACATTGACAATTGATAGTCATGTGTCCAAGAGACAATTTAGTTGTCGTATTTTGTTCACTTCATCGGGAAATTGACCATCACACGAAGAAAATTATTACAAAGTAAGTTTATCTTTCATGTGACTTTCATTGACAACTAATAGTTATGTGATTTTTCATTGGCGAGTAAATTTAACTATGTGATGTTTATCTTTCAGTATTAGTTCTTTTGGGATTCATCAAATAGAAAATGGAAATAGAAAAAAGGCTACATGGCTTCATCCCAATGTAAGTGTGATGTAAATTGTAATTCTATAGTTAAATTTATGATAAATATTCACTAATTATGTCATTCAATTGTAGACAAGGCAACAACATAACTCTAATGATTGTGGATACTATATGATGAAAAATATGTTAGATATTGTCTCTGCTAATATAACCAAGAATTAGATACAGGTACTAAAAATAACTTTACTTTGTTATTTACTTTTTGTTTTTCGACTTAATATGAATTTTTAAAAAATAACTCTATTGTTATATTTATGTATTATAGGTATTTGATGACCCAACCGAATTAACACCAGATGATTTGTATGATTTGCGAATTCGTTGGGCAAAATGTTTCTTTGAGTTACATGAAAATTAAGTTTATCTTGGTGAGTTTTATAGAATTGTATAAGTTGTGGTTTTTGCACAATACATGTGGTTTTTGCACATGTATTGAGTTTCTTGATTTTTTTTGCTGATGTTAATTGTTATTATTTATTGTCAGGCAATGTGATTTTGGTGTTGTCTACCGAAGATTTTATATTGGTAATTCAAGTTTGGAAACTTAGAAATAGTTGAATATTTTTGTATATTTTGTGAATAATATGTAATTGTAAGTTTTGAAAAAGACTTATAAATAGTTGAATATTGTTGTATATTTTGTGAAGAATTTGTAATTGTAAGTTTGTTGTGAGTTTGTTTGTTGTAATACAATACAAGTTTGCAATACAATTGTTCAATTTGTAAGTTTGTTGTGAAAAATATGAAAACATCGACCTAGATGTGGTATATGTGATGTTGGAAAGCTATGAAATCTATATAGCGACATAAATATAGTTTGTCTGATATTGGAAAAATATGTAAAAATGGGTACAAATTATATTTGTACAGGGAAACATCCAGAAAATAAATAATCTATTCCCAAAAAATTTCATACATTTTACATCGGTTATTACTCAAAACTGATGTAAAAACTTTCAAAAAGGGACTTTTTACATCGGTTGGGAGTAATAACCGATGTAAAAAGTTGCGTCACTAGGGACTTTTTACATCAGGTAATACTTCCAACCGATGTAAAAAACTGGATCAATTTTTTAAAAAAATATGCATAATAACTGTTTCTTACATCGGTTCTTATATTATAACCGTGTAAAAAAGAGACTTTTTACATCGGTTATTACTTCCAACTGATGTAAAAAATTACATCATTTTTTTAAAATATTGTAATAATTGTTTCTTACATCATTCTTATATTATAACCGATGTAAAAAAGGGACTTTTTACATCGGTCCCAGAACAGATGTAAAAAGTATCTGATTTACTATATCTCCTGACTTTACATCGGACCCAGAACCAATGTAAAAAGTCAGTTTCACCCGATGTAAAAAGTCAGTTCTGCACTAGTGAGTAAACCAAATTGTTAACAGTTTGAAATGTCTATCGTACATAGCCAACAATTAAAGAAAAAATTTAACATCACTTAACAATAAAAAATATAGCGTATCATAACATAAATTCATAAATGTATTTTGCAACCACAAAGTTTGAAAATAAAGAATTTATCAATCTCTCAGTACCTTCTCTATCCATGAGATATTTGATTTGGTGAGATTCTTTTGGACATACCTCATCATTATGCGCTGGTCAAGGAGGTAATTTAGGAACAAAGTGTAGGTTTAATTGGATTTTATAAAAAGTATCTTTGAGACCTTTTAGAAAACTTTGAAGATTTGTTTCTATTTTTGTGTGAAGATCTTGCAGCTGATTTAAAAAGTGAATATTAGATTTGTTTTGAAGAGTCCCAACTCATTCTAAGAGTCTATAAATAGGGACTTGCTATGATCTAAAAGAGCAAGCATTCACATAGAAGAAATCGTGAGTGCAACATAAGGATTAGGGTTTTGGGAGTCTTTTAAGTTCTTTGTGTTTGTGTTCTTTGTATGTCACTCATATATCTTTGATGCATTGAGTTGATTGATTTTTGCTTGTTTATCAAGCTATTGTTCTTACTCATGAGCTTTTAAGCAAATACTTGAATATTATTCTTATTTGAAGCTTTTGAGCAAAACTAAGTATTGTTTATCTAAAGTGTAATCTTCTATTGAGTGTTTAGTCTAGTTAAAAGGTTTGTGGTTGTAGGTATATCACTGCGGTGATTGGAAGTGAAAAGGAGATCTCTTATCTAGTGGTATCTAGGTAGAAGTTGTACAAGGTAGTGATTAGGCGAGAAGTTGTAAACTAAGATTGGTTTAGCTTTGACTAATACTATCATAATGAATTTCCTTCTTTGCTTGGTAGCTCCAGAGTAGATGACGTTGTACCGAACTGATTTAACAATTGATTGTGTTATTTAAATGTCTGCAATTTATCTTTCTGCACAGTCAACAATTTTAGCAAGTTTTCTATCAACGTATATTATAACATCTGTCTTGACATTGCATGGTGTTGGGACATCAGTCTGAATTTGAAGTGCCAGAATTTCAACATTGTTCACAACAATGTTCAAGACAACACCATCTATCTCATGTCCATTCCTTCCACCCAACAAGTAGCCGACATTTTCACGAAACCTCTCCATGTTGGCCCTTTCTCCATTGTTGTTAGCAAACTTAGATTGCACGACACACACTCCAGTTTAAAGAGGATGTTAAACTTAATTTATTATTTTAGTCCATTGGTTTCTCCCTTTTCGGATTATGTTTTATTACTCTTAGGATATTTTATATATATTTAAAAGGCATGGCTGCTGTACCATTGAGAGTGAAATAGTAATAATAATAATATTTCGTCCTCCTTCTTTTTCGTTTTTGTCCTCTAGCATTTGCATCACGTGTCTACTGGAACACATATTAACATTAATTAGTTTCATAATCACAAAAGTGTTTCTATAAATATATCTATATTTAGCCTGTTTCTCAACCCAACCCTAGATCGTGATAAAAATAAATATGTCTGTTGTAGAGAGCTTAAATAGTGACGCTAAATATGAGTTGCATAGAAATGTAGCAAATTTTCAACCTAGCCTTTGGGGAAATTATTTTCTTCAATATGCTTCGGAATCTATGGTACGTAAATCATATGTTGCTACTTGATGCCTTTTATGTTCCTGAATGCAATGTATATATTTGTTTTCATTACTATGCAGGAAGTAGATGAAAATATTAAGGCACAAATTGAAGCATTAAAATGCGACATGAGAAAGATGCTTATCTCAGAGAGTGAGAAACCCTTGGAAAAAGTTCATTTGATTGATTCAATATGCCGCTTGGGTGTTAGTTATTACTTTGAAGATGAGATTGAGGAGATTTTGCAAAATATTTACAAGAATAATGTTGAAGATGGAGAAATAACTTTCAATGACAACCTTTGCTCTCTCAGTGTGCTATTTAGGCTGCTAAGACAACAAGGACATCATGTTTCACCAAGTAATATACTCAGCTTATTTGTGGTGCTTTCTTTTAATTTTAGATAAATTTTCCATTCACTTTACCATAGTAAGACATGCAAGACGCACAATTAATTCAAATATTTTTTCATAATCTATTATGGTCATTATATTATGTTGCTTTTCTAAACATTTTATTTCAATATTGTTGTTGATTGATAAACACACCAGATGTTTTCAACAAATTCAAGAATGAGAAAGGAGAATTCAGTGAAGGACTTATTAAAGATGTCAAGGGAATGCTAAGCTTGTATGAAGCAACACAATTAATGGTTCATGGAGAAGACATTTTGGAAAAAGCTTTGGCTTTCACTAAAACTCACCTTGAGTTTATTGCCATCCAATCAAGCCATTCTCTTGCAATGCAAATCAAATATAGCTTAAGGCAGACTCTTCATAAAAACTTGCCAAGGCTTGAAGCACTAAGATTCATTTCCATATACGAGCATGATCCTTCCAATAATAAAACTTTACTCGTTTTGGCAAAATTAGATTTTAATATGCTCCAAAACCTACATCAAAAAGAAATTGGTAATATTTGCAAGTAAGGATTTTCATCTTACACTCCTTTGTAACAAGGAAAAGTTTTTTATAGTAATTAATATTATTTGTTTTGGTCTTACAGATGGTGGAATAATTTGGACGTGCCTAATAAATTACCTTATGCACGAGATAGGATGGCAGAAAGCTACCTTTGGGCAATGGGAATATATTTTGAGCCTCAATATTCTACTGCAAGAATAATTATGACAAAAATATTTGTCATATTTACTGTGGTTGATGATACATATGATGCATATGGAACAATTGATGAATTAGAACTTTTTACCAAGACAATTGAAAGGTTAGTTATTATATATATTTCATTAATTTAATTTATTTTTAAACTAATGAAAGTTATTTTTCAGATGGGATATTTGTGGTTTGGATAATCTTCCGGACTACATGAAGTTTCTCTATAGAATTTTATTTGATCTTAACAAAGAAATAGAGGAAGAAGCAATAAAGAAAGGAATAGTTTATGCATTGAACTACTACAAAAATGAAGTATGAGCCTTCATCTTCTTTTTATTAATTAAGTGATTCTTTAATTAATCATATATGATTAATGAATTTTTATTAGTCTCCATATTATTTTATTTGTCACGTATAATGTTATGCATCATTTTTAGATTGTATTTATTTGTAAGAGTCTTATAGAGTGTCCCGAGAGCACTGGTTAACATTTTCCTATTTGTAGACATGTTTTTCTATAAAAAAACAATTATACGCTAAAATATAAATAAAAATATGTGTTATATACATGCATTCTTGTTGCAGTGTATAAGACACATTCAAGCGTATATGGCTGAAGCTAGATGGTTAAACAACAATTACCAACCAACATTAGAAGAATACAATCGTTTATCAACAATATCATCTGGTTATTGTCTGGTGATCAATACATGCTACATTGGTATGGGAGACATAGCTACGGAGGATATCTTCAAGTGGCTATCCAATAAGCCAAAAGTAATTGATGCTGCTATTGTCCTTTGTAGACTAATGGACGATATTGTGTCAAACGAGGTATATCTATAAAAGAATCTTGTCTAAAACATACTTGTTTTATTTCAAACGATGTAAGCATTTACATGATTTGGCATCATTTGCATATAGTTTGAACAAAAAAGAGACCATGTTTCTTCGTTCTTGGAATGCTATATGAGGCAATATAACGTCTCTAGGGAAGGAGCAGTTCAAGAAGGTCAAAAAAGAATAGCTGATGCTTGGAAAGATATGAATAAGGAATCTCTTATGCCAACTGATGTTCCAAGGCCTTTTCTAACACGCATTCTAAACCTTTCACGTTTTATGGATGTCGTTTATAAAGATAAAGATAACTTCACACATTCTGAAGGCGAAATGAAGACATTCATCAAAGCTTTGCTTCTGGATCCAATGAAAATTTGAGCATAAATTGTAATCTTTCTATGTGTTGTATTTCTATTTTAAATAAAAACAATGTGTGTTCATTTTATTTCTACTTTCAATAAAAACAATGTGGGGAGTGAAATTTGTTTTTTTTAATTGAAAATTTGTGTTAAAGTTTTTTGTATTATAATGAGTGACAACCTTTTGTTGTTTAGGTTTGTCTTAATTTCACTACTACGAATAAATGATTTTACCTTGATTGGAATAAGGATTTTACTTCTGTTTGGTGGCAGAGGTAAAGAAAGGTGTCATGGAAAGTAAACTACTTTTCTCTGCGATTGAACTGCTAACTGAGAGGAAAATGGAATTGGTCATGAGATCGATTCCCAACAACACCATTTCTTGAATTTTAAACAATGTGCGACTTTTTACATCAGTTGTGTTTACATAGTTTTTGTTTTAACCTAATTTCTTTTTGTTTCAATGTGCAAAGAATTAAAGTTGTTGACAAATTCAAAATCTTTCTCATCAATAACACGTTACTAAAAAATATACATTTTGTAACGTCTTCTTACTTCAGCTATTTAATCTCACATAGAGTTTATTTTTTATATACAATTGCAGTTTTTACAGACAGTCAGAGATTTTACAATCTCAGGGAAGCTTTGTGCATAATATCTTCATTCATTTTTACTTCCTAAAATTTTTGGCCTTAAAGATCAATGTTAAGGTTCAAGCATATTGTTTAATTGATAAAGTGCAACTAAACATTAATCTTTAAACCAAGTTTTTCAATATACTGTATTAACTTTTGAAGAATGAAAAATGAAGTTTGAAGGCGGAATGATTTAGGTTTAGTAAAAAGGAGAATGGCGTGCTTGTTGACCTTTTATAGAAAAATCCCTATATCATTTCATCACGGTTGGGAAGAGAAACCATGGTAACATGTATAACATATCACTATGGTTGTTATTTTCAACCAAGGTGAAAAGTGTTTCTCTTAAATTAAAATATAACACATTTTAGTTTATTTACTTCATAACACAAAAATGCCCTAGTGAAAGCCCTTTAGGACAGAAGAAGGCAATAGCAAAGACTAATCTCCATAAAGATACCAAGTAAACTCAATTATTTATGGTTCGAATCATTGATGTTAGAAGACATGTTGAGTTTTAGTGTTGATATTTTTTATTTTAATTGTGATCGAATGTTATATTTTGTTGAGATAGTAATAGACTTTTGTTGTTGTTTAATGTTATATGTTGTTGTGATAGAGTGAGATTGAGATTGTGTTTGTGTTGTTGAGAATTTTATATATTATTGTTGTAGTTGGTTCACTGTTATTGTGTTAATGTATTGAGATTGTTATTGTGTTGTTGACAATGTTGTTGTTGTATTGTTGTATTATTGGTATGTACTGTTTTTCCATATTGTGTAAAAGTAACTTAGTGAATAACTTAGTTTTTGTATTGAGAATGTTGTTATGTTGTTGTATTGTTTTACTATTAAATAATTTTACAATCAATTGATAAAATTTCAGAATGTATTATTGATCGTAGTTAGATGAAAGCTAATAGATTAGGTCTAGTGTATGAGAAAAGAGTTCTTGAATTCATTGAATACGCAGAACAAATGTTCATGATAATAACAAAATATTTTATTGGCCTTGTGTATATGTGTGAATAATTTTTCTTAAATAAAGAAATATTTCATCACTTATATTATGATGAAATTTGTCAAAATTATATAATATGGATGTGGCATAGTAAAGTAGAAAGAAAAAAATTGCTATGTCACAAAGACATGAAGTTATTGTATATATGGCTGATCAACTAGAAGATATGTGTGAGTACAAACTCCATCGTCAAATATTTTGAATGATGTCAAAACTAGGAAAAGCATGAACTTCTGGACATTGGTGGATATCCTGATGTCTTATGGCACTCATATGCATTAGAGGTCTTATGAATCATTAAAATGTATTTTTCAATTCATCCAAGTCATTAAAAATAATTTTCTACATAATTTTCTACATAATTTTTGAAAAATGGATGTGTCGACACATCCAATTTTTAAGTCGACACGTGTAACTCATTTTTAAATCCTGTAGCTTTTGTAAGTCTCAGGTCGACACGTGCATCATTTCAGGTCGACACATACGGAAGCATTTTTGAAATTGCAGAAGTCTTTATTTTATGTGTCGACACATCCATTTTTCAGGTTGACACATTTACTATCGTTTTAAAGCCTTTAGCCACTGACTTGGTTAGGTCGACACATACAATTCAAAAATTACGTATGTGTCGACATATACGACTAATAGGTCGACACATATTGTTTGTTTGGTCAAATTTCATAAATCTTTTTTATTCCGAATTTGTCCCTCTTTTCCATAAATATTCCAAAACTATAAATACTCTCTCATGCATCATTCATAACTGGGTGAAACCATAAAAAATAGCCTATTTCTCTCATCATCTTCAACCTTCAATCTACGTATACAAGTCGACACTACATTGTAGTGATGTTCCATTGGGGTGCCATATAGACGAGGATTATTAGTGTCCAATTGTGTATTTGGTAGAGTTTTGTAGGGGCTTTCATCTAAGAAAAAACATCAGGTTTATCCTCCAAGATCATTGGTTGATTTGGGGGTTTTCGTGCAAGAAATCGTCCATGTGAAATCACCTTGGAGTGATTGAAATCTTTGCAAGGAACCTTGGAGTGATTGAATCTTTTCAAGGAAGTAGCAAGTATTGGAAGATAGAATTGGAGATCTTGTGTTGATAGAGTGCAACAACGAGATAGAGTGCAACAACTGGGTAAGAAACCTTAGTAACTACCCTATGATTTTAAGATCATACCGAGGCAACAACGAGAGGGTCATTTTTTGATCTTTACACCGGAGGTTAGCCACTAAAGTCACTCATATTTCGAGAGTTGTGATTGTTTTCTGAAGGCAACCAAAGCAGGGATACGCTAGAGGTGTATATGTGAGAGTGTATTGTATTCAATTATTTTTGTCTTGTGTTAGGTTTGCTAGCGTTTAATTATTATGTTCTTGCCATACAATCCTATTAGTCATGCATCTAGACAGTTAATAGTGTGCGAGAATTTAAAGTGCGGAAATGTAAAATCCTAACTATTACAAGGCTTCGGGGAGGGGGAATTATTTACAAGCCCAAAACTTGGGAAAGTAAAAAGCAGTAAATGTCCTAGTTTTTAACGATTACAAGTCGGGAAGAAGATACATTAATAACAAAGTAGAAGAAATAATGCTAAAGTAAAACGCGTGCGAATTGGAACGGACGTCTAAAACCCTAAACTATTTTTAAGTAAAATAAAATCTTTTTTGTCGTTTTTGTTTATTTGGAAAAAGAAAGTTTGAGTTAAACAATAATTAATTAATTAAAAGAAAAGAAAAAAATTATTGATTATGATTAATTCTAACAAAACCTAATATTTTTTGGTATTTTTATTATTTAAGAAAACCTTAAAACTTTAACCTAATTATAATTGTTTTTAATTTATGAAATAAAGTTAAAATAATTAAAAAAACTAAATTTATTTATGAAAATTAATTTAAATGAAATAAAACCTAAATCTAAAGTTTCTTACATTTATCTAATTTTATGATTAAATAAAAAAGGTTTTTTTAAAAAAAAAAGAGTAAATATAAAAAACAAAATAAATAATAAACTAAAAAGAATAAAAGAAAAGAAATTGAGCCTGGTGTTAAAGCTGAAAAAAGGGGGTGAGATTTGGAATTTATATGGCCCAAATTCAGCAAGCCCACTACTGCATTGGATCTGGTAAGGAGGCATCTGAAGAGTCCATGGTGAGGCTGCACGCCGAAGGCGCTGGATCCAGGTCAACTGAGATTTGATGGTGTGAATTTGATGGCCTATGGTGAACTCCTTAGACCTGGGAACACTGGATCTACAGGAAACTTGTTAGAAAAAACAAAATTCTAGACCTGGGCATCGAACCCAGGTCTCTCCCTTACCAACCTGTTAATCGTTTATACCAATAACAAAATAATAATATATTTAAAACATAAAAAAAAGCTGAGGTGTACACGCGCACACTCCAATGGGCCCTAGATGTTTAAATGAACCAATCAGGAAATGGCTCGAAGCCACGCATACTCTCGCCTGAGTCAAATGGAGTCAAAGACGATGGAGTTAAACTCTGGTCGTCTTCTTCGATCTATCAAAAATTAGAAACATGTGAAATCGTTGGATTAAGGACAAACTAAAGATCCTATCCCACTTAAAATCGTCCCCTGGTTTCAACTCTGGAATCCTTTTGGCCTAAATCGATCTGAATCTTGCGTTTCAAAAGTAAACTCAGATCGTGCCCTAACAATGGCATGATCTCCTCCTTGCGCTTATTCTCACATGTAACACATTAGTTTGAATGTAAATATCATCAATAACATGGATATATGCTTAGTATGGATTTAAATGGCATGTATTGAGAGTTTGAGATCAGAGAGAAACAAATAGAGATATAGAATGAGAGAGTTATAACGTGTGTTGGGCTTGCCTCATGAATGGGGATGGCTCATGATACCTTCAGGAGGAAGATGAGATATTTGTTTTGGATGGAGAAGGCCTGGATTTCTTGATACGAGTTTCACTTTCTCTTTGAATTTTTAGGAAAATTTTTAGGGTTTGTGGAGGCAGCTTCGTGTGTCTTTGGCTTGAAAATGTGATTCTTATATAGAGGAGATGAAGATATGGTGATAACATGGAAATAAATCATGCCATAACCATTTCTTTTAAAACATGATTCCATTTTGAAAATTTGCCAAAAATGTGTATAAACATACCATATTTGGTGAAGCAATGAATCTAGACATGTCTTGCACGCTTCTTGGGCCTTAAGACAAACAAAACATCAACCCAAATGCCAAAATCCATTTTTAATATTTTATGCAATTTTATTTTATTTTTATTTGAATAAAACAAAATAAATATGAACAAAATAGATAGAAATGGCAAGGAAAGGTATAAATTATTTTAGGGGTCCTTTAT